TACAAGGCAAATTAGGAAAAAGCCTGAATCCATTCACATCTGTACAAGGAATTATACACCATACACATTTGCTACTTATAGATGCAGGTCCTGTTTTACAGGAATTTATACAATAAGAAATAGCATGAAAATTACCTGTTTAAACATTCATGAAATGCATATGGCCCCCAAGAGTACTGAAAATGAAAACTCAGCTTTACCCCTCCAGAGAACTTGGCTCACCTATCTTGACGTATTTTTCTTTCTTTCTTTCCTTTCTTTCTTTCTTTCTTTCTTTCTTTCTTTCTTTCTTGTCATTTTGGGTCCCACAGCCAGGGGGACTCTGGGGCCTACTGTGAGTTCTGTGCTTGAGGGTAACTGTGACAGAGTCTGGGTGACCACGTGGTGCCAGTGATTGAGTATAGTTCAACTGCATGCAAGGCCTTATCCCCTGTACTATCTCTCTGCCTCTCTTGCTATGTTTAAGAAGCAGGGTTGAATCCCTTCCCAGCCCAGTGGGATATTGAGGTTTATTTTCTTTGAATATGCCATGCCTATTTTAATTGGGAGAAGGCTAGAAGAAGTACAGGTTGAGAACTAGAGTGTGACCCATTTAGCATGGTGTAGAACTGCCTTTCTCGGGGCAAACTTTGCTCCTTCCTGCAAAGAACCTAAGCACCTAACTTGTTACATGTCCCACACTCTATTCTTCTTAGCACCTCTAAACATCCTGATTTTTGAACGTTTTACTTCTCCTGAATTGCTTTTCCTCTTGTGCTAGTCATGCTGGATTGTCTAGGACAGGTACCCATTTGGAAAGTGTGTAAAACCCCAATGTAAGTCGGGTGCCGGTCGCTGGCTCCATACTCCTCACTCACTGCACCAGACTCTGAAACACAGTGCATCCCTTTCACCTGGCAGCACCTCCCTCTCAGCTGCATCCTCGACTTGGTCACAGCTGAGAGAACGGCAACAGGAAGAGAAATAAACTCATTAGGACAAGGATGATGGGGGTCGGGGAGAGTATAGGGGTGACGTGATGGACTGGATACATCTGGGAGTGAATATACCACAGTTGGGTGAGACCCTGAAAATATCTGGTGACAGTAACCGTGGAAAAGGTGAGAAAACTATCCCCTCTAATAGATTCAGATACAGAAGAGGTGCCATAGAGCAAACGGGAAAGCTGCTATGCTCCCTGCCAATTTGTAGCCATCAGCAAAGCAGGAATAATTACAGATGCTGTTGGACGCACTTTGACGTTAACTGTTTGAAATTAATGCTGCTTTCTCGCAAGCCCCTCTGTGGAGTGGGAGAGCTGGTGGGAGCCAGCAGGTAACACTGGGCAGGGGTAGTGGGCAGGGGTAGTGGGGTCTGCAGAAGTTTCTGCCATTGGACCATTTTCTTAAGAAAATTCACTATATCCAAGAAAAGGAAAACAAAGTTTGAGCTGCTGTGACCTCGGTTTCTGTCGACCATTTCGCATGCCAACCGTATAGCTGTCTTAGCAGAGAAAACCGGCCTTTGAGGATGTATCTGGGTTTGCCTCCTAGGAGGCAGAAGCAGGGTCAGCAGTAGTAGATTGGAATCAATTCAGTGGAGGGAAAACAAACCTCGGGACTATATTTGACTCTATTTTGCCTTCCTGGAGCACGTCGCAGGCATTAGCAATAATGGGAGCCTGTCTGCGCATGGAGAAGAAGCATCTGCACTCACGCCAGCACCCGCCTTGCCCTGGGCTTGCAGTCCCCAACCTTTGGAGGCTGTGCAGGTGCTGAGCTCGTTAATTCCTAACTTTATGTTGATATGCACAGAGCAATTCTCTCCCCTTTTCTCTCTTCCTCTCTCCCTCCTTCCCGCTCTCCCTTCCCTCTTCCCTCCCTCTCCTTCTCTCTCCTCCCAGAAGAGATGGGAGGAAATGGACCACACCAGTGAGCCCCTGAAACACAACCCACACAGAAAAGGAGCCTGAGTTTCCTTGGGTCTGGCTGTGAACTGACTGTGTCCGGTGTCCTCTGCTAGGTGGTTCTGGACATGCAGACTCTCTTCAGGTTATTCTGTGTGGCGAGGGGGCTGCTGCATTTCCTTAACAACAACAACAACAAAACAATCCCTCTAGATACCGCTGCCCACTGACCTTTTCTTGCAGAGTCTGGAATGACCAGTGTTTTACCTGGTCCTTCCCAGAGGCCTCGCTGGGCTGGGAGGAGGAATTGTCCTCAGTCTAGACCTGCACAGCAGAACCCGAGTTTCTGAGGACTCCGCTGTGGTGGGCTTCAGCTCAACCCTCACTGAGACCATTGAAATGCCCACAAAAAAGTTCAAATAATCCTAAAGAGAGGCAGCTGTTTACTATGCAAAGCAAAGGGTTTATCCCAGTTGATTTCCTTGCCCCACAGAATGAAAGGGGCATTTTTATGTCCCCATCGAGTTTGGGGGAGCTGGCCAGAGTGCTGAAGCCAGCCTCCTCTCCTGACTTCTGCGGCAGTTCACACTGGCACCTGCACTCTGCTGGTCAACCACCTCTCCCAGGCAGAGCAGAAGGAGTTCCAGCAAGAGCCAGACTGGCGGCACCGGGCATGTGTAAACAGTCAGTGGAATTTCAGGGCACATTGCATTCCCAGACCTGAGAGCTATACTTAGCTCCAGAGAGTTTGGGAATAGCTGGGAAGGCATATACTGTCATTCAAATGAATATTAATAGTGTGGATCTTAGAGTAAAGAAATATTGCTTCAGTTCAGTATCTGGTATGTCTCCAAGAAGGAAAAAGTAAAATGTTCCTATGTGTTAAAAGGCTTTAAAAAGACTTGGTGTGTGTGTGTGTGTGTGTGTGTGTGTGTGTGTGTGTGTGTGTAGCCTTCTAAAATCAAGAATCACTGGTACTAGTTGGGAAAAAATCATCCCAACTATTCACAGTTTAAACTAAACAGAATTGTTTGAACTTTCTCATGTATCCAACTTTAAACACTTTCTTCCCTCCTCAACGTCTACCCTCAAACATTTATTTCTGACAGATTCTATGCATCTGTCTCTATTGCTGGGTATAAGAAAAATGATTCTTGAGAGCGCCCAGTTTATCCCAAACCAGAACACTGACCAACACCAGAACTGCACTCTGACATTATACCCCTGCTCACCTTCCCACTCCAGAGAGTTAGTGAGCAGTGCCTTCGGCAAAGCGTTCCCTTTTTCTGAGGGAGTAGAGCTACCCCCATCTTCTTTTTTGCTACCAAGTCTTTTCCACCAAGGAGACAGCCATCACATTCTTTCCTCTAGCCCGAGGTTCCATTTCCCTATTAACATCAACATCACACTTCATTGAAGCTGAAACAGAAGGCATTTTCTGCTTGGTGCGTTTTATGCTCTATTACTATTTCCCCTGCACATCACATGTCTCTCTGAGGGGCACGGGGGAATGTGTGTGGGTTCTTATAGAGGAAGAGAAGGGAGAGATCGACTTTCATAAAGGAATTCACCGGGCCACTCTCTGCTGCCCTCCCAGGAAGGCTCAATGCCCAGGAGTTCTGTCCTGCTCTGGAAACTTCCTTTGCATCCACACACTCACCGGCCTCCTGGACATGGCTATTCCTTCTGCCCCATCTCTGCAGCACTGCCCTGTGTCTGCTCTTTCCTGTCTGGGGCAGGACTGATAGATCTGCCCCATCTCACCCCTCAGCCACTCCTACATTATGGGTTGGATCCAGAGAAAGGGCAGAAATCAATGAGCTCAAAGTGTAGCTGAGTCCAATCAATGACACCCAAACAACATCACAATGACCACAATGATTGAATTCTCATTCTCTGGTGCAGGGGGAAATCAGAACTGAATGTTTACACAAAGACTATTTACAATAATAGACAAAAAATGAATAAAGCATAGCCAAGCTTCTGGAGAGTGAACATTTCAAAGAGGCAGGCGGTGGGGTGGGCGAAGTGGGTCTCCATGATGACAACGGAGACTGGTGGGTAATTTCCTGGGAAGAGTCTCTTCTGGGTTACACCCCCAAAAGCTAGAGGGTGCACCCATGCTCCCACATCAGATACCCAAATTGGTCACCCTGGGGAGAGGGAGAGAAGGAAGTCTCTCTGCCCTCGGGTCCCTCACAGTGGCAGGTAACCTACATGCTGGCTGTGAATGTTCCTAAAGTTACTGATTCTTTTTTTGTTTGTTTTGGGGAATATCAAGCAGTGCTTGGGGCTGACTCCTGGCTCTGCACTTAGGTCACTCCTGGCAGGCTTGATGGACCATGTGGGATGCCAGGAATCGAACCTGGTTTGGCTGCATGCAAGATAAGCACTCTACCCACTGTCCTATTGCTCCGGCACTAAGTTAATGATTCTTGAGTTTCTTCAGAACAGTATTAAGGGCCTGACCCAGGGCTGGCACCTTGGGAGCAAGCCTCCTCTCACTTCCCAGGCACCAAAGGAGCAAGTCCTCAAGAACTTGAATGCCAGGGAGAGGGTGCGAGAGCCGCATAGCCCTTCTGGCACCTTCTTGTTGCTCATTCTAGAACCACTGCTGGGGGTCAGACCAAGCCTCCAAGGAGAAACCAGGTGGCAAAGATGAGGAAACAAGCGACCCAGACACAGGAATGGTTCCTTAATGAGGAGACAGATGGAGTGGCGACCCCACATGCGGCCAATGCAGAGTGGCTTGAATTCAGCCCAGCAGTGCCTTGGGCTGAGGAGCTAGGAGAGTCCTGCCTCCTGCAACCCCCCTCCAGCCTCTAATAGGCCGTTGACCTTGACTTTGAGTGTGGACTGATGGGCTGCTCAGTCTGGGGGACCCCAGGGGCTGGTGGTTGATGGGAAGAAACCCTCCTCACTGCAGAGGCTGTCGCGTTCCCTCTTCTCTAGCCACGGTGATCGAATTAACAGGCTGCTTCTCCTCATAGGAAATGTGTCCCCGGGTCCCAGGAGGCAGGGCCATTTGCCGGTCTGATGACTTGGAGAAGGGATGGTGGGGCTGCTTGTGTGTGTCGCTCCCTTGCTGCCCCCAGGAAGGGCTGCCGGGCCAGCGTCAGCCGCAGGAGGCCTGGCAGGTGGCGGCATACACGCTGCTGCTAGGGCACTGGAGGGGTTTCATGCTGCTCTCCCTCTGAATGTGCAGGTGCTCCAGCTGCCAGCGCTCCCAGCTCTTCCGAAACTCCATCTGGACCTTGGCGGGTGGGGAACACAGGAGGAGAAACCAGCCATCAGGCAGACCGGCTACCACTTCCTCCCCCCTGCCCCATTAGGTGGGAAGGAGAAAAATCAGCTGCAGGGAATTAAGATATTAAAAGCCCCTGAGTCAAGGCCTTCAGGCGCCTAAATGAAGATCCCAGTGATGAGCTGTTTATTTGTTGTCTCCTCAGGAGAGAGCTGGGCTTGATGAGTTAATTGGTCTCTTCCATCTCGAAACTCTGACTCAACTGAAAGTACCTTTTACAATCCATCACGGAGCTAGAGAGCAGAGAAAGGGGGGCAGAGAGCCGCAGCAGGGGAGGCAAAGCAGGAGATTTCAGGATGCGCTCTTCCCCCTGCACCTGGCCGCAAAGAAGAGGGACCGTGTCTCTCAAAACCCAGGGGCTGCTTCCCACCCCTCCAGGGTGTGGGGGTGGGCGTGGGGCAGAAGAGGCTCTCCCCCCTGCTCTCCTGCCCTCAGCCTGGGTTTGGATGGGAAGGAACCCCATCCTGGAACTAGCCCACATGAGTTGTGTGAACCACGGTCTCTGCTGGAGTGGGCTCAGCTCTCCCATCTGGAAAAAAAATCTCGCTGATCTGGGGTATATAGAATAGATGGACAAGGGAATGTATGTAATAAAGGAGGGCTGCCTAGATCACTCTCGATCCAGGAGTAGAGGAGGAGAAGAACAGAGAAGGAAAGGAACCGAGGGGGAAGGAAGATGATGAGAAAGGCAAGTAATGGGAAAATGGGCTGGGACCTCGTTCATACCGGCAACGCGGGAGAGTGGTATAGCTATAGAGCAATAGCACAAACTCCACAACGCTTGAAACCATGAGCTCTAAACCACTACCACAATGTGCCTGTCAGGTGGCATGCAGGAGACAGGAGGTGATATGGGAACACTGGTGGAGGGACGCTGACACTGGGGGTGGGATTGGTGTTGGAATATTATATGCCTAAGACTCATCTATCAACTTTGTAAATCGCTGCTCTTAAGTAAAAGAGTCTTCTCACGATGGCCAAGGCACAGTGAAGCAAAGCATGAATAACCCTGCAAAGGACAGAGGCGCCTTGTGATAGCTCCAGGTTCTGGCCCTGTCCACTGGAGACAGGGTTTCTGGGCTGAGGGTACCTTTCTGTGAGAGGTGTTTGTCATGCCCATACATTGGTCTTCCAGAACTCAGCCGTGCTTCCCTGGTCCTCCTGGTTGCTGCACCCTGGAGTGCTGGGCCCAGAGGCATTCCCTCAGGCCCAGCTTTTCTGAGAGGGCCAACTGCCAGCAGCAGTAGGCAGGGGCTGCCAAGGTCCCAGGTCAAATACCCCTTCTGCAGGGACATCATCCATCTCCTGAAGCCCAGCAGGTCACATGCCATCCCTTAAAAGAACTTTGCAATGTGTGGAGCTGAATGCTCAGAGCCTGCCAGGCTTGCTCCAGATCCCAGGGCGGCAACCCAGAGTCCAAGGTGGGATGTGGGGGTGTGAGGGCAAAATTAATGCCATGACAAGCTGCAGCTAACATTAAGTCTCAACGAGGCCTCAGTTTATGTTTCCCCGGAGCAGGACTTGCAGTTTTGGTAAACTCCCAGTTGAGTAATTTACCAAGATAAGGAATTGGTAGTTGGGTCTGGCTGGTTATGAAGGGTCACTGCACCCTCCTTAGAACTGCTGCTAATCATTCCCTAATTGCTGACCACCACTGTAATAAGGCTGATGCTAAAACCAGACCAGTATATAAATTGTTTCTTAACTCTGAACCCTATATGAACTGCTTGTGATTTGGAGTCAGGGTCCTTGTCAGGACTCCACTGTGTGGGATGAGCCTTGGACCCTCGCTCGGGTGAGCACTGGCTCAGGCTAGTGATCAAGTTCCTTTGCTTTTGCATTATCACGTGTGGAACTGGGTCTCTCTGCGACTGGGGATCTGAAACTTGGGCACAACAGGGGCGGGGGTGAGGCTGGCACTGAGCAGAGCCCTCCAGGGCATCCCACTCCGGGTCAGCTCACCTCCTGGCTGGCAGCTGAAACAGGGAAATGCTCTGCCCAAAGATCCAGGAGCAGGGAGGAGGCCAATCTGCCTGGCAGCTTGTGACTAAGGAAAGCAGGGAGACAGACAGGCAGACAGGGAAGCATCCGCAGAAGTCTGCTCAGACTGTGGAGTCTCAGGGATCCCAGAGGGAACCAGATGGAACCAGAGCTCCAAACACTGTCCTGTTCCCTCTGCCCCATCTCCCTCAGCCTCACTTTGGGCCTCTGCTGTATCCTCACAGGCGGCAACCCCTCACTGATGGGGAGCTCACGGAATGCTTCTCTTTCTTCAGAGCTGGTTTAGTCGGTGCCAACTGCAACCTGTGAAAGTGACTCAACCATGGTTGGGGATCACTCCTGGGGGCACTCAGGGGACTGTATATGGTTCCAGGGATGGGCCCAGGGAGAGTCCCATGCGAGGCAAGTGTACTGTCTCTTAAGTCCTAGTCTTGGCCCAGTCAATTGGGAACCGGGACTACTGTCCCCAGCTTGCATTATCTCTGCTCCAGGGATCTTCCTAATTTACCTCCTTTATTATTTTTGGGGCAACACCAGTGATATTGGGCCACATGGAGCTGAGGATGGAACCGAGGGCCTTGCCCAGGTGTGACATGTGTTCAGATACAGATTTCATCTGTTATTTTCTGGTGGTTCCCAAGTGGTGCTCAGGGAATCCCAAAGGACAAACACTCCCAGCATTTCTCTACCAACCAAGTTGGATGATCCAGTGCTTTAGCCTGAGATGCTCTATTGCTTCTTAGACCTCAGGGTGCTGGGGCCAGAGGCCAGGTAGGGCATATGCAAGGTATGTGTTCTGTTTCTTGAATGACATCCCTGCATCTCTCTCTCTCTCTCTCTCTCTCTCTCTCTCTCTCTCTCTCTCTCTCTCTCACACACACACACACACACACACACACACTGGAGCCCCCACCGATGACTTTTGGCCAGCTGAGCCGGCAGCTCAGTCCAAGAGCACAAGTATGTGAGGCTGCTCAGGCCCTGTGGTATCAGGGACATCTGGGCCACCCCTGAGATTTTTGAAAGAAGCAAACAGGCTGAGAAGCAGCTCCAGTGGTAAAGCATATGTCGAGCATGTATATCGAGCATTTATGAGGCCCTGAGTTTGACCCCTGGTATCCCACAGCCCCCCTCGAAGCACTGGCATGGGTGGCCCTGTGGCCACCAAATGTCACTTATAGGTGCTTATTTTAAAAAAGCTAAAATGTCAATAAAATGAGCCAAGCACTGAGCATGTGACTAGGGAGTCAGCAGCTCTCTCCTGTGACTGCAGGTCCCAGTCGAAGAGTGGAGAAGGCATCCCGTGCCCCAGACGAGCCTACTCAGACATGCTGCCGCAGTGTTGCTGCTAACTGCCCTCCCCCCCCCCAACACACACACACACACACACACACACACACACACATGCCCGTAGGCAGCTGCCTGCCAGGGTCCGGACTTGGGGCTGGGGCAACTGATGAAAATGCCTCTCAGTTTACACTTGGGGACAGAGACCAAATTACTGCAGTGGTGGCAGAATTGGACCAGCACCCAGGCCATGAGCATGCCTGGACCTTCCCTTCCCTGCACCAACTGCACTGTCCCCCACAACTCTGGCTTGTCTCCCTGCACCCATGGCCCTGTCACCTTTCATTCTGGGACACAGGTCCCCACAGTGCCTGAGTAACCCAGAAACAATGGGTGTTCACACGTGTCTGGTGGCTCTTCGATGGAGAAACATCTGTCTCTGTTCAGAGGAATCAGGGTACCAGAGTCTCTGGGCAGACCTTGAACAGGCAGGTGCTCTGGCCGCCACCCACAGTGGGGACCCCAGCAGCCTGCAGAAGCCAGCAGGGAATTGGGTGACCCAGGATCAAGCTGTTTATCAGATCAGAGCAGCAGTGTGAGTCCTCAACCCTTAACCCAGCTGGGCCAACCTTGGGGAAACAGACAGAAGAGGTGATGGGCTTTAAGGAGTGGAATCAGGGAAGGGGCCTGGGCAGGGTTCCGGGGAGACACTGCAGAAGTGATGGGGGAGGTGCACACACAGACACAGACACACAGAAAGACAGACAGACAGACACACACATGCTCAGGCACATACAGACACATACACATGTATAGAGACACAAACACAGACAGACACACATACTCAGGCACATACAGACACATACGCATGCATAAATATTTACAGAGAGACACCAGACACAAAAAGAGACACACACACTATACATGCAGATATATATACACACACACACAAACACACAGAGAGACATAGACACACCAACACAGACATACACTCAGAGACATACAGACACACATAGGCATATGGACTGTGGCTGCAACTGGGGGGTATGGCAAATGTGCACTTCCAGCCGGACTTTGGGGAAAGAGAAGGGAGAAGCAGGGGACAGGGTTCTGAGAGGAAGTGCAGAGGGAGCCCCTTTCTCTCCTCAGGACCTCTGACAGCCCAGCCTGTCTCCTGGGGGATAAAGCTGCCTCCTCCCTTTGGCCGAGAACAGTTTCTGAGGAGAATGAGCCTGCAGCACTTAGGGGTCCCACTTCCACTACGCTTTTCAGTTTGGGGGAAGTTCTCATGGACTCGGTATCAGAGGTGGGGGTGGCAGGGCGGACTGTCTCCCTGCTTCTGTGAATCGAGGGTCTGTAGGAAGGGGCATTCGGTCAGCTCCCCACCCCTACCCTCAGAGACTGAGAACCACCAAAACCCACCTATGGCCAGCCCAGCCCGGCACTACCCCTACCCCCCAGGTCCAGGGGCCTCAAGACATGAGCACGACTCCCTCCGCTAACCTCCTGGCTCTACCACTTTTTAGATGTTGAACGGGGATATTCATTCTGCTCTGCTGAGCCTTCGCTTGCTCATCTGCATGTGGGGATAAAACCTGCCATGCAGGATGGATTTGATAAGTAAATGCTGGAGCATCCTGCACAGAGGATGTGTTCAGGAAACCTCCAGAGGCCTAATGTCCACAGGCCTGAGCATCACCACCTCCATCTTTTGAATGAAGACACAGAAGGTCACATGGCCACAGGAAACACGCTGAGTCACAGGGCCACTGAAATCAGGCAGGGATCTTGGGGCAAAGCCCATGGCTTTGGGGCTTTCCTGCTCCATGTCTGGGCCACTGGACAGTTCCTGAAATACCTGCATCCCACCCACTGCTGCCTGGTGCTCCCACACTAACAGGAAAGGCCACATGGTTGTGAGCACATGATCTAAGGTTTCTGAGGTCCCGACTCTGGCCGAGAGCCATACACAGGCTTCTGGTCTTTGGGGAGCAGTCTCCCTGGGTCAATAGGCCTCACCCACTGGCAGTCACCCTGATGTATGGATGAGGCCGGCAAGATGCTCATTTCTGGCTGCCTGGGGGTGGTGGGGTGCCCTCGCTGTCTTTCCTGTTGGGGGCTTGTATTTGAGCACTTCCCTGTGCAGCTCTCAGGCTGAGTCTTAGACTGTGTGTTTTCTCAGTTGTAAGTTCAGGGGCGGGAGAGAGGTCAGGTGACATCTGCAACCGCAGCTGGTGATGTGGGGCTACACCTGCTCTCCTCCAGCACAGAGCCAGGCACCAGGACCCTTGCCAAGGCCCCTCCTCCCAGGAGCCAGATCCTCAGAGAGGGGTTGGCAGGGGCAGTGGGAGCCCCTTCTCTCCTCCCACCCCAGTGACCAGAAAGCCAGTGGAGGACCCGCCCGCCCCTCCTGGGGACTCTTGTCCACTCACAGAGGAAGGCAGGTGCTCTTCTTTCCCATAGAATGAACTCTGCCCCTGGCTTTGCCACTATTTCCAGGCCATACCCGGGTGTGTTTCTTACTCTGACCTTTCGTGATCTCATGTGTGGGAATAGTGAGCAAGGATACTGGGGGGAGGCTGGTGACAATTAAATGAGAGAGTGGTAAGTTCCAGGTATGTCACTGGGGTGTTTGGGCGTGAGCCACCTGGCAAAAGTCACCACCAAGATGTGTCCATTCAGTATCCCTTTTACATAAGGCCGGGTCTTCGTCAAGCTCACAGTACTGTAAGGTGTGTCTGAGTGTGAATGTGTATGTGTGTGTGTGTGTGTGTGTGTGAGAGAGAGAGAGAGAGAGATAGACAGAGAGACAGAGAAACAGAAAGAGACAAAGAGAGAGAGAGGGGGAGACAGGCAGACAAACAGGCAGAGAGACAGATAGCAAACTGAATACAAGAATATGTCTGGGAGGTGGGGTAGGGGATACCAGTTGAAAGGGTGGATGGAGTCCCCATTACCCACATTCAGAGCAGTCAGTGGTAGCCCACCAGGCCCCCTGCCCTACTGTCCCATCTCAGTCTTACCTCATTGTTGACAAAGCAGTACAAGATGGCCACCATCAGCCCCTGGAAATAAGAGTTAGTCAGCGGGGAGGAAGCGGGAGGGAGGAGCCCCTTGGACCCTAGCCCCAACATACCCCTCCTCATTGGGCAACCATGGGGCCTGAGGGAAGGGGCATGGGTTCTTCCTCTCCCTCTAGAAGTACAAGAAGGCTCCTTGCTTATATACTGAAGTTCTTTGCTCACTGTCTCCACCCAGTTACTCAGAATAGAGAGAGAAAGAGGGGGAGGGTAAGAGGAGGGAGGGAGGGAGGGAGGGAGGGAGGGAGGGAGAGAGAGAGAGAGAGAGAGAGAGGCACACACAGAGAAGACAGATCTGGCCAAACAGATCAGGACCAGTCTCTTATAAGTCTTGTGAACCCCCAGGTCCTTAGCATTATCTAAAACTAGTGGAGACAAACTCTTCTGCCTTCAGAAATTACACAGCCTGGCAGTCTTGTTCTAATACACCCAACCTCAGTGCTCTCCAGGTACAGTGGGGCTGATTCTTGGTCCCACCTAGACCTGCATGAGGAGTAATTGGGCCCCTGGAGTACATCACATGACAGGGTGCTTCCCATGTCTGGCCCTGGATGCTGGGTCCACTCTGGTGCCTAACCTGGGCCAGACCTCTGTCCCAGCCCCACTCACGACCCCCACCACAGGTTACCTGGAAGGAAGTGAAAGACAGCTCTGTGAACAGCTTGATGAAGCGCAGCATCCCCCGGGCGTGTTCATCTATCACGAAGGCGAAGATGACCTCGTGGGTCCCCAGCAGGGGGATAAGTGTCAGCGTGGACTTGGCAAGTCTGGGCCAGGAAGTGGAGTGGTCACTGTGGGCCTGGCCTCTGGGCGCTGCTCCCCTTCCTGTGTCCCGGACCCAGGCCTTGCATCCAGGACACAAACATTCCCTCCCCCACCCTGGGTCAGGCAGCTTGGGAGGGAGGAAGCAGCTGTCCAGACCCCCCTAGAAACCTGGGACTCCCCAGCTACAGGAATGAGGGCAAGGGGACTCCAGGCCTTGCCCTCATTCTTGGTGCTGGGAGTCCCTGGCAGGGCTCGGTGAAAGGGACAGTCAGGCAGGGCCAGCTCGGGGAAATCACCTGCACTTGATGTCTGTCTTGCACATGAGGTTGGCTTTCAGCTTGGACACCACAATGCAGATGACCCGCACAAAGATGAGGAAGTTTACCTGTGAAAAGATGAGGGGTGCTCTGCAGATACCCACTTTGCTCCCAGCCCTTCCCCCAGCACCCCACAGGCCGTCTCAAAACCCCCACTCGCCAGGGTCACTCACCCCAATGGCAAAGAGAATGGGCAGCCGCATAATGAGCCAGTAGTTCATGTTTGAGTTTCTGGTCCAGCAGCTGGGGAGAGGAGAGGCACACGAGACACCAGTGGAACTCAGAGCTCCCCTGCCCCCCACATCACACTGTGGGCATGGGGGTCGCACGAATACCCACAGGAATGCATGGTGACACAGCCACACATGCACAGCCCCCAGCAGCCACTTCCAGAGACTCTGACGGATCTTCTCAAACACACATGTGTGCGTGGGGCCCCCCATGGCCCCACAGACACTCAAACACTGTCAGGTGTGCGCCCCGCAGCACCCATCAGGTAACAGGACCAGTCCAATGCAGTTATCACCCAAGACCTGAGGGGGCCACTTTGTATCCCGCAGGCTCAGCACCACGTGTCACTTGCACAACCCTGGGGAGGGAGTGGAGGTGGGGGCCTAACTTCTTAAACTGTCAGCATCTGAGTGTGGGTGGTTTTATTTTTGTTTATTTGTTTATTTTTAAATTTTATTGAATCACCCTGAGAAAGTTACAAGCTTTCATGTCTGGGTTACAATCACACAATGATCAAACACTCATTCCTTCACCAGTGCACATTTCCCACATCAATCTCCTCAGTATCAGTATACCCCCCTCTTACCCTCTCCCCGCCTCCATGGCAGACAATATTCCCCATACTCTCTACTTTTGGCAGTATGGCTTGCAATACAGACACTGAGAGGTCATCACGTTTGGTCCATTATCTACTTTCGGCGTACATCTCTCATCCTGACTGATTCCTCCAGCAATCATTGTCTTAGTGATCCCTTCTCTATTCCATCTTCCTTCTCCCCTTCGTTCATGAGGCAGGCTTCCAGCTATGGAGCAATCCTCCTGTCCCATGTATCTATATCCTTGGGTGTCAGCCCCATGTTATGTTATTCTATACTCCACAAATGAGTGCAGTCCTTCCATGTCTGTCCCTCTCTTTCTGACTCTTTTCACTTAGCATGATACTCTCCATGTGGTTTTATTTTTTAAGAAATTCATTCATGATTTGTTATCAGAAAATATTTGATATGTACTCTAGTTTAGATTCCCCAAGATGTGCAAAACTTTCTAGGATGAAAGGGATCCCGAGTGAGAAAAGCTTAAGAAACCTAGAGACCGAGATGAATCTGCTTGGTTCCCGGTCCCTCATGTGTCTACAAATCAGCAGGACTGGCAGGCCCCAGGGGCCAAGGAATCCCATGGCACTGACAGATGAGGACCCATCCCAGGAAGAAGGACACTCACCCCTCGTCCTCATAGAGATATTTGACAATGCCCCAGGGGATAACAAACAGCAGAGGAGCACCTAGGAGGAGAGGAAGAGAGAGGAGAGGGGCTGGCAGGCCGAGCCGCAGTGCACACCCAGAGGCCTCCACCTGCAGCCCCCCTCCTGGCCTGGCCCCAAACCACACTGTCTGGAACTGACAGGGGACAGAGGTGACAGGACACTCCTGAGCTCCCCATCCTTGATTTCCCATCCTCTTCTGTAATGGGTGACTGTGATAGAAAGGGGCATATTTAGGGGTGTGCAGTGGTGGTGGTGAGGAGCGGAGGCACAAGTGTGCAGATGGGGCTCGGAAGGGGCGCAGTGACATATTTCTCGGTAGAACCAAATTCATTCACAGCCTTTCCAATCGACACTCTCAAGCCTGCTGTCCACCCCAAGCAGCTTTGAGCCATGTGTGTGGGCTGGAGCGATAGCACAGCGGATAGGGCACTTGCCTTGCACCTGGCCGACCCAAGTTCGATTCCTCCGCCCCTCTCGGAGAGCCCGGCAAGCTACCGAGAGTATCTCGCCCGCACGGCAGAGCCTGGCAAGCTCCCCGTGGCGTATTCAATATGCCAAACACAGTGACAAGTCTCATGTTGGAGACATTCCTGGGCCCGCTCGAGCAAATCGATGAACAATGGGAGGACAGTGCTACAGTGCTACAGTGTGGGCCTGCAACTGTGGTGCCAGTGACCCAGGCGAGGGTGGCCGAAGCAGAGAAGCTCACTAGCGTTGACTAGCGTTCTGAGCTGAGAAGCCTCCCCTCAGCTGCTTGTTTCTACACACCAGCCCTCCCAGCAGCCACTAGGTTTTAGTAATACCCAGCAGGAGGCTGGGCGAGAGTTGGAAGCCGTCTTGAGGCCTCATTGCAATGCCTGCCATGTGGAAACGCTGAGAGGAACACGAATGGATGATGAATGATCAGTAGAAGAGGCGTTTCCGGGGCAAGACCCTTTCCTGGCTCGACCAATTCCCCACCCTCCCCACCCAACCCTAGCCTCCTTCCTGTTCCCAGGGCTGGGGGATTCACTCCTGCTCTCAGCCAGACTTTATTCATCAGCCACGCCTCCCCCCTTGGAAGAACCAGGCACAGCCCTGCTGTCCACAGACAAGCCCCGATCCTGTGAGGCAGCATTTTTCTCCCTCCCATTCCACAACCCAATGAGACTGGCTGGAGAGAAGCTTGAGCAGAAGGGTGACCTGGGGCAGCCAAGCTTCTTCCCTCCTTGCCTCCCACCTCTGCAAGGCACCTTGGGGTGGGTTCAGGGGACATCCTGCTACTATGGAGGGCTGCAGAAGCAAACATGATTTCTTGGGAGTCCCCCAAAGCTGTGTGAGAGTTTTCACTTTATTATTTGGGGGCCTCCTCAGTGGGGTTCAGCGCTTCTTGGCCAGCCCAATCAGAGGTTAAATGCAAGTGCTGGAGGATTCAGCGGTGCTAGAGATTTCCCAGGTCAGCCTGGAGCCCTCCAGGGCGACATCTGCTGATGCACCGTGGACCATGGGATTGAATGGAGGCAGCCATAGGACAGGCATGTGCTGTGACTTCTGTACATTCTCTCTGGACCCGAGAGACTTAATTTTCATTACTGATGCCCAGGGGAACACCAAGACCAGCTGCAGGTCAGTGCAAAGGCTCTGTGGTACGGGGTGGGGGTGCCACCAGGCCTAACCCAGTGGAGCTCAGGGGGGCCCAGAGCCATACCCAGCAGTTCCTGGGAACCATGTAGTGTCAGGGTTGGATCTAGGCGGGAATGTGCCCTAACTTCTAAACCATCTCCCTGGCCCTTCTAAAATCTTTTGTTTACACAAGAAGCTGAAAGTTGTTTTCCAGCCCTTTCCCTCCTCTCAGCTTGGTCTGGCCTTTGTCCCTCTGTCTCTCCTCACCCCAGCTCCTCAAGGAAAGAGATTCTGACCAAAAAGAGAGACCCCCCAGGCCTTGCCCCTGTGCCTCCTCAAACCCCTGCTGGGGTGTGAGGGTGTGGGAAAAGACTATTGCTCCCTCTTCCATTTTCCACGCGGAGACCCCCGGAGCCCACCCCTGACCCCCCCAACAGTCCAGCTCCTCAGCCCAGACTGCATCCCTGTGAGTGTCCCTGCCCCCAGGTCTCCATGGCGACAGCTGCTAACAGTGCTGACGTGCTGAAGCCATTTCCCAGAATGGACAGGCTTTCTCTCAACCCCGAATGCTGCCATCCCCAGCTCTTGGGGGGCCCAGCTCCATTCCTAGCCCTGCTTAGCTGCAGCACCCCAGCTGCCTAGAGAGCTGGATGAAGAGGCTGAGCAGGAAGGGGAGGAGGGAGGAAGGGAAGGAACAGAGAGCTGTGTGCAGAGGCCAGACCCCTCCGCTGTACAGAGGCTGGAGTCTGTTTAGCTCCTCCTGGAGACTGAAGAGACAGCAGCTCAGGCCAGAGGAGCTGGCACGACAGAGTGGGGAGGCCCCCTAAAGCTGGCTCGACCTGTAAGGCAAGGAAGTTCCTCTCAGCACCCACAATAGCCCTCAGAGCTTCCCTTCCTCTGAGGGACTGCACAGGGCAAAGGGAGCCAGGACAACAGCGGAAAGAAACGGGGTGCCAGCACATGGGAGCCTGTGAGCAGGGGCCTGGAGAGCGTGGAGTCCAGGGGTTCAAGGCAGCATCTTGAGGCCATCGGCTGAGTTCAAAAGGGCCAGGAAGATTCTCCATAGTTGGAAACCTGCCTCATGAGCGGAGGGGAGAAGGCAGCTGTAATAGTGAAGGGATCACTAAGAAAATGATGGTTGGAGAAATCGGTCGGGATGGGAGATGTGTGCTGAAAGTAGATAATGGACCAAACATGATGACTTCTCAGTATCTGTATTGCAAACCATAATGCCCCAAAGTAGAGAGAGATTATGAGGAATCATGTCTGCAATGGAGGCAGGGGGATGGTGGGAAAGTGGGGGGTATACCGGGGATATTGGTGGTGGGGAATGTGCACTGGTGGAGGGATGGGTGTTTGATCATTGTGTGATTGTAACCCAAACATGAAAGCTTGCAACTCTATCTCATGGTGAATTCAATAAAATAAAATTTAAAAAAAGTGCCTTACAAAGTGGGGGCTCGGTGGGGGGCTCGAGAGCCAGCCTGGGAGGAGGAGAACATCCCCAAAGTCAGGGGGCAGCGAAGGAGGGAAGGATGGGAGCAGTTCGAGGTGGAGGTTGGCTCTGTCGTGTGCATGGGGACTCCCTCAGTGTCGACTAGGGAGGGCCGAGGGCTTCAGTGGGACCCTCCACTGGGTGAAGGTGGGATGGGGGTGGGGTTCCCTGTCTCTGCTCCCTCCCATCTGTTCTTGTTCTGATCCACATTCCATGTGGTGAGAGGCTAGAAGCACAATCAGAAATGTTCCCGCAAAAAAAGGAAGACAAAATGGTTCTTAGCAAACTTTTTTGGTTAGAGCATTTCCGGCTGGACCCCAGGCACATCTGAGTTCACCCTTTTCTCACCTGGCTACTCACCCACCCCAACTGCCCCAACCCACCCCAACTGCCCTAAGGCCAGGATGCCCCTCTCTTCCTTTAGAGCTGGGTAGGACTCCACCCCCAAAGTAGCACAGAGCCATACTCAGGAGCAGGGCACTTGGGGGTGAGACCGTGATGGGCAATAGTGTCGGGCTGGAGGCCTCGTCTTCAATGTATTAGGGGAGGAGGACTCTGCCAGGGAGTGGGGGAAACCATAATCCCCATCTGCTGTGAGTCTTGTGGCCACAATGGGGTGGTCCACCCAGGGTCAGCAATGGGTTCTGAGCGCTGAGTTGGGTGTGGAAATCTGAATCAGGTCTGGGTGCAGAAAGGGAATGAAGGGGACAACAGGAGTGGGAGAGCTGGGGGAGCCTTACCCCAGCCTATGCCCACGTAGAGCTTGAAGACACGATGCTCAGAGAAGACGGAGAAGGTCAGCAGTGTGTACAGGTACACGCCCTCCACCAGGAGCCAGTAGTAATTGGCCGCCACGCAGTACTGCATGAGCAGGAACACCAGGCGGCAGCCGAGGGACTCCTGCGGGTGAGGGAGGCTGCTTGAGTCTCCGAGCCCCTCCCCAGCCTACACGCCATTATGTTCTTACTGACCTGCACAGGGAGGACCAGAGCATAGAGTGAACTAGACCTGGGTTAATGCTAAGAAAGTGACCTGCTCACTGGACTGTTACTGGCCCTGCCTTCAGGGCCAGTAGCCAATAGAATCCCCACAGAAAGCAGAGCCAAGACAAAACTAAATGACCTGCACAGACCTTACAGCTAGTGGGTGGCCGAGCTGGGATTCAGACCAAGTGCTCCAAAGATCACTTGGCAGACACAGTCCCTGTGCCAGACCGGGAACTCCTGAAGGGGATGGGGCAGTGTTTCTCGCCTTAGGTCGGGGCCTCTTCCATTGGACAGGCATCCCTAGAATTGACTGACTCTCCTATCAGATTGGAAAGTCCAGGGTGGGCTCCCTCTTTCATCAGACTGGGCTTCTCGGGGCACTGACAGTCTTCTCAGACTGGGGCCCCTGGGGAAGTCTCTTCTATCTGAGTGGGGTACTCCCAAGGGTTGGGTGTGGTCTCTCTGTGTCAGGGTGGATGGGGCAGAGAGGCCACTCTTGGCCCATCCATGGCTCCTCAGGCCCTTCAGCCCCGCCCCCGACCCCCCATACACACCTGGTAGTTGAGGAGCCCGTCCCACTGGTGCTTCTGGGGGGCGGTGCTGTACATCCATTTGAGGGCCGCATCCTTAATGAAGACTGACAGCGCACGGAGGATGAAGGATGCAAACAGGTTCAGGTGGATGTAGTTCCGGGTGCAGCGCAGGTGTCTAGGGAAGAAAGCAGGGTCCTGCTGTGCAAGACGGGTCGCAGTTCTGTGCCACAAGCCCTGTCTCCAGCTCTGGAACTGAATCCATGTCTTCCTTCCTCTGAGAACATGTTTCATCGTCATAAAAGCAGGGAGGTGTGCCCTGCTTTGCCAGGAAGATTGCGGGTACACAGTCCTTCATCCCATCCTCCTCAATTCTGTATCCTTCCCTCTATAGAAATTTATGTGCAACCCGAGTAGATTCAAGCATGAGAGTCACTTATCCCAATGAGGTTTGAATTTTTTTTGTCTCTCTTGTGGGGAGCCATACCCAACAATGCTGGGGTGGTGAAGAGACCAGAAACAATCTCATAAAAAGGACTCCAAACTTCAAATGATACATTTAAAACTTAGAAAGAATTGCTGAGGATCAAGGGTCGAAATAGTCTGGATAATTCTATAGAGCAGGTAGGGTGTTTGCCTTGCACGCTGCTGACCCGAGTTTGATTCCTCTGCCCCTCTCGAAGAGCCTGACAAGCTGCCAAGAGTATCTCGCCCCCACAGCAAAGCCTGGCAAGCTCCCCATGACATATTTGATATGCCAAACACATTAACAACAAGTCTCACAATGGAGACGTTACTGGGCCCGCTCAAGTAAAATGGATGAACAATGGGATGACAGTGCTACTCCTATAGAGGTACAAACTAGTAAAGGTCCTTGCTATAAGCAGCTGATACATTTTTTGGTGCATTTTTTCTTTTTACTTTTTTAATCAGTGAATCACCGTGATACACAATTACAGAGTTATGAACTTTTGTGCTTGCGCTCCATTCACACAATGATCGAGTGCCCATCCCTCCATCGGTGCCCATTCTCCACCACCAATAATCCCAGTATCCCTCCCACCATCTCACTCTATTCACCCCCGCCCCACACCGCCCCGGTGGCAGGGCATTCCCTTTTGTTCTTTCTCCTTTTGGGTGTTGTGGTTTGCAATAGAGGTATTGAGTGTCCATCATGTTTGGTCTGTAGTCTACTTTTAGCACATATCTCCTATCCCGAGAGGGTCCTCAGAACACCCTTTAGCTGGTGTTCCCTTCTCTAACTAAGCTGTCCTCTCCCCCAGCATATGAGGCCAATTTGCAAACTGTACATCTACACAATGGAATACTATGCAGCTGTTAGAAAAGATGAATTCATGAAATCTGCATATAGGTGGATCAACATGGAAAGTATCATGCTAAGTGAAATGAGTCAGAAAGAGAGGAACAGACATAGAATATTCCACATATTCATCTGTGGAATATAAAGTAACAGAATGGGTGACTAACACCCATTGAGGGCTGGAGCGATAGCACAGTGGGTAGGGCATTCGCCTTACAAGCGGCCAACATGGCCGACCCGAGTTCGATTCCTCTGCCCCTCTCGGAGAGCCCGGCAAGCTGCTGAGAGTATTCGATATGCCAAACACAGTAAACACAAAGTCTCCAATGGAGACGTTACTGGGCCCGCTCGAGCAAATCGACGATCAACGGGAGGGCCTTTACCTTTACCTTTAACACCCAAGAACCATGGGGATAAGTAGCAGCTGATACATTTATCAGCAGCCCAGGAACTGTGCACTGGTAAGGGGGTAGGTAAAAGACTGACGGGAAGGAGCCCAGACCGCAATGCCAACAGGCATGGAGCTGCACGGCAGAGCAGGCATCGCCTGCCAGGAGAAGCCTGCTGAGCAGCAAATGGTAGGATGGATTCTGGGCATAGAGAGAAAAAATACATTTACATGTTTTATTTTCATCATAGACAAAAACAAATTCCATGTGGATCAAAGAACCATAAGGCGTGAGTAAAACTTAAAGCCCTGAGATAAGAACTGATTTCATTTTTTTGTTTTGTTTTGTGGTTGGGCTATACCCAGGCTGCTCAGGGCTTTCTCCTGGCTCTGTCCAGGAGACACCTTGTAGTGCCCAAATCATATGTGGAGCTGGGGATTCAAACAGGTTGACAATGTATAAGGCAAGTGCCTTAAGGCCTGAACTATGTCTCCTGCCCAAGGAAATATTTCTTTCTTTTCCTTAAATCTTTATTAGTGAAACACCATGAGGTACAGTTATAGACTTACAAATTTTTATGCTTGGGTTTCAGTTATACAATGATTGAATACCCATTCCTCCACTAGTGCCCATTCTCCACCACCACTGATCCCAGTATCCCTCCCATCCCCCATCCCCCCATTCCACCCTACCTCTGTGGCAGGGCATTCCCTTTTGTTATCTCTTTCCTTTTGAGTGCTGTGGTTTTCAAAAGAGACATTGAGTAGCAATCATGTTCAGTCTATAGTTTACTCTCATCACGCATCTCCCATACTGAGAGGAACCTCCCAACACCCTTTATTTGGTGCTCCCTTCTCTATCTAAGCTGCCTTTTCCCCTTGCATGTGCAGCTGGCCTCAAAGCCATGAAGTAATCCTCCTGGTACTTCCAAGGAAATATTTCTTAAATAAGACCATGAAGAAATTTGCTCTTTGTGAAAAATGAAAAATTAAAAAAACTTAACCTTTGTCAACTGAAAACTTAATAAACTTAACGAAAATGCACACATTGATATATTTCATCTCATTAAAACTAAAAAATGCCTTTGCAATGGGAGAACTGATCTAGACAACTGAGTTGGGAAGGGGCTTCAAAGGGAGGAGCATGGGGTCCCTGGAGGAGGAAGGTGGGAACATTGGTGGTGATGGGTAAGGTGTTGGACTCAGGTGAATGGAAAATCATCATCCGTAGTATTGTAATTCACATGACCTCAATCAACAAAAAAGCTAAAAATAATAACAGAAAGATAGAAAAAAAGTGAAAAGATCTTTGTACAAAGCACCAAAAAGTGAGGGAAGAAACTCCATAGACTAAAAGGAGATATTTCCTGATTAGAACCCAGAATATATAGTAAATGCCTCCAATAAGAAGAGGTCAAAAAAGCTCCTAGAAGAAAAGAGCATGAACAAGAAATTCACAGGAGCTCTCCCCCACTCTCCGCCAAGGTGACCCCTGAGCACCCAGGGCAGAGGGGATCCCTGGCAAGTTTTAGGACTGCACCAGAAGCGGGAGTTGAATCCTACTCAGGCACCAACACTGCAATTCCCCCAAAGGTACAGGGGACGCAGGGGGCGTGGCCTGCGGGGGCATGGTCTCTGGGGCAGCAGCCACTCAGGGGCCACAGTTATTTTCCCCTTTCCCAGCCTTTGGACTCACATCTCAATCGCCATTACCTAATTCTGAGGAGAATAGCCTGGCTATCCCAAACACATTAGGCCAATAGTTCACTAGCCTATTCCAATCTCACCAGAATTCTGATGAACACAAGAATCTGAAAAAGCCTAATATAAAAGAAAACACCCTCTGAAGCTGCACTAGAGGCCCCACATAAGTCCCAGAAGAGCACCAAAGAGGAAATTAGCATTCTAGAAGGGGAAAAAAGGAGACCACCATTGGCTGAGCTCATCCAGAGTCCTTTCTCTCAGCGAGAGGGGGACACTGATAGTGAACTGGAGGGTCCTACCTACATAATACCACAGCAACATGAAGAAACAGCACAAATCCCCACCACGAGGAGTGTATGAAGAAAAGAGCCCATAAGCCTCAACAGGGAAAATCCACAAATAACAATCTCTCTGATAAAGAATTGAGAAGTGAAATGTTGAGGATGTTTAATGAACTCAAAGGAACAGTGGAACAGGCATCCAGTAAATTAAAGGAGGACATGAAAGAAACAGTGGAATGGACAGCCTATAAAACACAGGAAGAAATGAGAGCAGAAATAAGAAAGCTACAAATAGAAGTGTCACTAATAAAGGATTCGGTAGGTCTCAGAGCTGGAGAATGTAGGCGTCCAGATCCAAGGAACCCAAAGGGTACCTAATAAAAAGACTCCAAGACATATCATAATCAGAATGATGAATACCACAGATAGAGACACAATACTGCAAGCAGCAAGGTCAAAGAAGGAAATCACATACAAAGGAGCGCCCCTTACATTTACAGCAGACTTATCAAAGGAAACCATCAGTCTGAAGACAAAGGTGGAATAAAGTGAAAAAACACAATGAAATGAACGCCTTACCAAGAATACTTTATCTGGCTAAACTCAAACACAAAGGAACCATACGGTATTTCATGGACAAACAACAGCTCAGGAACTTCACAGACTCAAAACCAACTTTAAAAGAAGGACCAAAAGGGCTACAAGGGCTACTGTATGACAAGACAAACCTCTAGCAGCACAACACACCTCTAGAGAAAGATGGCACAAAATTCCATGACAATAATCTCTCTCAATGTCAAAGGTCTCAAAGCACCAATCAAAAGACACAGAGTAGGAAAATGGATTAAAAAATTGAACCCAACTTCTGCTGCCTACAAGAAACACATCTGCATAGTCAGAGCAAACACAGACTCAAAGTCAAAGGATGGAAAACTATCCTTCAAGCAAACAACTCCCTCAAAAAAGCCAGGGTGGCCATACTAGTATCCAACAACATAGATTTCAGACTGAAAAAGAGTAGAAGGGCCAGCAAAGGCCATTTTTTTAATAATCAAGGCATATGTACAGCAGGAAGAAATCACACTCCTAAATGCGTATGAACCCAATGAGGGACCAGCAAAATACTGAAAACAACTGGTAGCAGACTTCAAGGAGGACATTGGCAGCAACACAATAGTAGTTGGAGACTTCAATACTGCCTTCTCACCACTGGATAGACCAGCAAGATTAAAACTCAGCCAGAAGTACTGGCTTTGAAGGAAGAAATGGAAGAGAGAGAGCTAACAGATGTATACAGGACTGTCCATCCCCTAAAAACTAAATACACATTCTTTTCCAGTGCACATGGAACATTTTTCAAGACAGACCACGTGCTGGGCCACAAAACATACCTCAATAGAATCAGGAAGATAGAAATTGTATCAACTATCTTTTCAGACCACAATGCAGTGAAGATAGAAGTTAATCACGCACAGATGTGGAGA